AGGAGGAGGAGGAGGAGGAGGAGGAGGAGGCGGAGGAGGAGGAGGAGAGACAGGAGGAGGAGGAGCAGGAGGAGAAACAGGAGGAGGAGGACCAGTGTAAATCCAAGAGTCACCAACGGTGTTGGAAGAAGCCCTCCCCCTCAGCTCTCTCTTCATAGGCCCCTACAACGTTTCATTTCCATAGAAGGACCCGCCTCGTTGAAGACAACCGTTTGAGGACCCTGAAGCATGCCACAACATTGTTCTCGGGATTCCAACGCCACAGATCAACCTGACTGTTGCCAGAACGCCATTCCTAGCCATTCCCAGGACTTCAACACAGAAGATCAATGTAACTGCTGCACCAGCATAATCCTTAATCGTTCCAAAACACCACTCCTGGTACGTTGACGATGGGTATCCGTGAAACTCTTCCAAATGCTTACAACGAGTGTGCGCGGTGCTATGGCGAGAGCCACATGTTGAAAAGGAATCGCCCGCTATCCGTGAAGCTCTTGCACATGTTTAAAACGAATGTGCGCCGCGCTAAAGCCAGAGCCGCATCTTATGTTTACAACGAATGTGCGCGGCGCTGAGGCGAGAGCCACATTTTGAAAACCATCCGCCCTCAATCCGTGAAGATTTTTCCTCCCCAGCTTCCAATGTTACAGTATTTGCTTTCTTCATTTTGAATGAGGTTGGGAGACCCAACCAACAGCTGGCATCCTATGTCTGCTACAGTACACGACAGCACAAAACTATCGGGGACAAGGTATTGGTGTCCACATACTAAACCTGAATGTGAAACCAGGCACGCTTCCAAATGCACCGAATTTTGTAGCCCTCAATCCGTGAAGATCTTGCATTTGTTTAAAGCGAATGTGTGCCGCGCTGAGGCGAGAGGCACATTTTGAAAACCACCCACCCTCAATCCGCAAAACTCTTGCCAACTTTTAAGCTTCAGAATCACAAATGGCAAAAAAGTCTCAGGCGAAACGCCCGGCCCGCCCTAAAAACTGGCCCCGGGGTGCGACAGGGAGTTTAAGGAAAAGGAATGGATAAGGAGGAGGAGGAGGAGGGGCACAGGGAGGAGCGGGAGGAGGGGGAGGAGCAGGGAGGAGGAGGAGACGGGGGAGGAGGAGAGGAAAGGAGGAGAGGAGGAGGAGGAGGAGGAGAAGAGGAGGAGAAGCAGGAGAATGAGGAGGAGAAGCAACGAGGAGGAGGAGGAGAAGGAGGAGGAGGAGGACGGGGAGGAGGAGGAGGGAGGAAGGAGGAGGAGTTAGGGGAGGAGAGGAGGAGGAGGAGGAGGAGGAGGAGGAGGAGGAGAAGGAGCGCGTTTCTTTATGTTCGGCGATGACGGGCGTCATGGGGGGGGGGGGGGGCGGGGGGGGTATGACGTGACGCCCCCCCCCGCCGTGTGGTTCCAGCACCACAGCCGCACCCGCGCGCACGACGCGACGACCGACGAACGACGAGCGACGACGACGACGCGAGCAGCATGTAAGTGGCGATCTGCCCATTGCGCCTGTGTACACCACAACGCTCGCGTGCACCACACCGCGCGTGTGCACCACAGCGCCTGCGTACACCGCAAACAGCCGTGTGCAACGCACCGCCCGCGTATACCACAATAGTTGGGAACACTACAGCGATGGTGTACATACACCGCAGCAGCCATGTGCAACACAACGCCCGTGTACACCACTGTGCTTGCGTGCGCCACAGCGCCTGTGCACGCCACAGCGCCTGTCTACACCACAGCATCCGCGTGCAACGCAGCGCTGTACACCACAGTGCCTGCGTGCATAGGACAGGACGAAGGAGCATGTACGTCAGGATCTGCTCCGGACAACTAAACGCCACGCCAGGAAAGTTCTGAGAATCGAATGTGACGTTTATCCCTCCTCCCTCCTCCTCCACCTCCTCCACCTCCTCCTCCTCCTCCTCCTCCTCCTCCTCCTCCTCCTTTTCCTCCTTCTTACGCCCTGTCGTGCGGTTTGGCGTTGCAGCGCACGTGCGCATCTCAGCGTGCACCACAGAATGGTCGATTGAATCGGCCCACTTGGTTCTCGGACGGCCAGTTTAGCTGGAGCTTCCTCGACGCAAATGGGAGTTTGGGTGATGCGGGCGGACTCGGGGGGACTCGTAGATTCCAGCGGCGCTCCTTCGTCCATGAGGATTTGTTTTCCATTGTTTCCTCTGGAATCCATACGCGCTCCATGTTGTCACAAGGATCCCTTCTGAAATTATATGCACAACAGTGGTGCTGTGTTGCACACGGCTGATGTGGTGCACACAGGCGCCGTGGCGTACACAGGCACTGCAATGCACGCAGGCATTGTGGTGTACACTGGTGCTGTGTTGCGCACGGCTGATGTGGTGTACGGAGGCGCAGTGGTGTACACAGGAGCTGCTGTGCCCGCAGGCACGGTGGCACAAACTGACGCTGTGTTGCACGCGGCTGCTGTGGTGTACATCGGCGGTGTGGTGTACACACGCGCTGTGGTGCACGCGGGCACTGTGATGTACACAGGCGTTGTAGTGCAGATCGCCACCGACATGTTCGTGCTACCCGTCCTCCGTCATTCCTAAGCATTCCCAGACGCCGCCAGCGCGAAACGTGACGTCATCGACCCCCTCCCCCCCAGATGATTGCCGTCATCGGCCCGGACTTTAAAACAGGCTCCAGCAGCGTCCGCGCGCACGACGACGATGAGCGACGAGCGACGAACCACGAGCGACGACGACGGAAGACGACGACGACGACGACGACGACGACGACGACGACGACGACGACGACGACGACGCCTGCGGACCAGACACCTATGCGGAGTCCTACGCGGACACCTACGCGAATCCCAATGCGCACGGCGGCAGTGCCCGGAGCGCACTGGGGGGGGGGGGCGTTACGTCATAGGGGTGGGGGGGGGGAGCGGGGCCATGACGCCCGTCATGCCCCAAGCAATAAAGAAACGGTCTCAAGGAGGAGGAGGAGGAGGGGAGGAGGAGGACGAGGAGGAGAAACAGGATGAGGTGGAGGAGGAGGAGGAGGAGGAGGAGAAACAGGAGGAGGAGGAGGAGCGACAGAGCGACGGAGCGACGCAACGCGCGGCCCCGAGCGGGCTCGGCCTGGGGGGCCAACAGTACGCCCTGCTGATGCGGCAGCGCCCAAACCTGTGCTCGCAACCGTGCAGCGCCTCTCCGGGCGCGCATCCAGGAAGCTCGCGTGTCGATCCTGGCTGACCGCGCCCTTAGACTTGCCATCGCTCGGACGTCCATGCCTCGTGCAGTGTTCGGCTCCGTGGGCGTAGCTTTTTGCAAGCTGATCTAACAAGCTCCTCGATGGCCCGCGCAGAGAAAAAATGCACCCATCCAAGCGATGCCAAGTAGAGGAACAAACTGTATAAACATACATGTTCGGAGCTCCGGGCGGATTCCTTGCATCGGCGCTGGAACCCTCTCCCTGGCGCGTGGAGCGCGCCAGGGGCGGCGCCGGAGGCGCCGCCAGTTGTGGCCCAGCGCCGATCCACGAAATCCTCGCGGACTTTCGAACGTTTATGTTTATGCCGCTTTCTCTTCTTCGAGCCCTGACGAGCGCCAACGACCCTCTCGTGGCACGCGGGGGGCACGGAGAGTGCTGGGTGCTGCCAGGCAATGCCTCCGCAGTCGCCACAAGGCCCACCTCCTCTCGTCGGCTACACGCAAGCATGACCCTGGGTTAGAGTGACCTTTGGTGCGCGGCGTTCGGGGGGGCCACGGGGGGGGGTCAAAAATAAGGGCGCAACCGCTACTGCTGCACCGCGTTCGGCCATCGAAGGGCCCCAGTGGACCCACGCCAAAGGTCACTCCGGCGAAGGGTCACTCTTTCGTGTAGTCGATCTCGTCGTGGTACAGATCACGACGTGCGGTTTTCAAGGGTGTGCGGCCTCCGGGGGCCGTGGCAAAGACCAGGGACCGCCCAACAAAACAGTTCGGGATGAGAAACGGGTCCC